ATTAAAACTGTTTCAGAGTGTTAGTGTGTCTCAGAGAACCGTCTCAGATCAGATTACTGACTTAGCACAAGATATTGAAGAAATACTGAAGGATTCTGCAGGAGATTTCTAATTTTTCTCTCTGGCTTGTGACGAGACAATGGACATAACATATACTGCCCAACTGGCTGTTTCCGTTTGTGGGATAACTGCAGAGTTTGACACGAGAGAGGAACTGCTGTCACTGGAAGCCATGCATGGCACTACAAGAGGTGAGGATTTGTTTGAAAGACTTGTTTTATCAATGAAAACACTAGAGCTAACATTTGTAAAGTCAAGTGGCCTTACTACAGATGGAGCTCCAGCCATGGTTGGCTCGCAAAAATGGTTCATTGCATTTGTCAAGAAAGAGCTGGATCATTTCTGCTTTGATCCAAGTGATTCAATTATATGCCACTGCATAATACACCATGAAAGTCTCTGTGCACAGTTGTGGCTCAATAATATGTCAACAGTAGTGTCATGCATAAATTTGGTCAAAAGGAGAGGGTCTGCCAGCTGCCAGTTTAAGGAGTCACTGAATCATCTTGACTCTGAGTATGGTGATCTTGTTTATCACTGTAAAGTGCAGTGGCTGAGTCATGGGAACATGCTCATGATGTCTTACAAACTGCAGGATGAAGTCAAGCAGTTCATGGAGATGAAGGGAAAACCTGTGAGGGAACTCAAGGATAGCAAGTGGCTGTGTGATTTAGTGTTCATAGTGGACATTACCAAGTACCTCTCAGAGCTGAACATCAAGCTGCAGGGCCCCAACCAGCTTCTCAGATCCCTGATTTCAAACGTAAAATCATTTGAAGCTAAATTAAGGCTGTGAAAGTGCAATTCAAAAGGAGTAACACAGTGTGTTTCCCCACACTGGAAGGACAAAAGCGTCCAGGACACTGGAATATGCTGGTGAATGTGCGAAACTAACTGAGACATTTAAGGAAAGATTCAAGGACATGAAAAGTAAACAAATAGAACTGAACATCTTTGCCACACTGTTCAATGTGGAACCAGCTGACATGCCTGATAACCTGCAACACAAAATCATTCAGCTCCAAAGCGATGATGGGCTGAAAGCTAGGTACAACCTCCCACCGCTTGAGTTCTATAAACATTACATAAGCAATGATGAATTTCCCACTTTGAGGACACATGCATTGAAATATGCATCTGTGTTCAGAACAACTTACTACTGCGAGCAGTTCTTTTCATAACTTACCATTGCAAAGAGCCAACTGTGCTCCAGACTGACCCAATGCAAACCTGGAAAAGCAGTTGCGAGTAGCAGCAGCATCAATACCAGCTAACATCACACGCCTCACCAAAGAGAAGTTCCAGCTGTCACGTTAGGGGTAAGTTAATTAAATGTTTGACCAAATAGAGCAGGCTAATTTTTAAGTTGATAATTTTGTATGGCCCTTGAATGATGTTATAAATATCCAAATGGCCCTGGACAGAATAAAGTTTCTCTACCCCTGCCCTAGGGTAAGAGCTTGTTCTTGAAAAGGACCATGTGAAATGGAGCTGTGGATGGGCACTATAGTTCTGATGCAGAGCCTGATTGCAGTCCTAACTCGTATTCCTATTGAAAGCAGCAAGTTGGGAGAATGTGCCCCCTTTGTTCATCTCTAGGGTGGTGATGTCTCACTGCTGTTGACATGTATCCTGCCTTCCAGATTAGTTGCAGTTTGCAACAATGGATTGACAGCCCAACCCCACTTCTTTCACCTTTCTCCTGCTGCACACACCTTAGTAAGGCAATTGGATCACTCAAGGCAGCTGTCTCCAGAAAGAGATTGATTGTCTCTAAGCTTCTCACTGGATAAATGATCAGGACAAGAAGCATGGGAGAGGAGAAGTTATGTAAACCCATTTTTTAAAAAATGGAAAAATAAGGATCTTGCCAGGACCAGTTCTCCTGAATATGATGTCTTTCTCGTTAAGTTGCATAAAAATGTTATTCTGTGAAAATGCTTTTGTCCATCTTGCACACAACCCTTCCAGTCGAAAGATCTGGGCAAAAAAAAGGAAACAATTAGGAAAAATTGTAAAGTTAGGATTAGTGAATGGGACACACTGACTTTGTAACAACAACAACAAACCCTGACATCTGGAAAGTCACTGGGAAAGGGATAGGACATTAATGATCTTTGTTTTCATAACTGCTCCTGGAAGCTTTCTCCTCTTTCTGAAGAAAAACACTTGTGCTGCCTTTGCACGCTGCTACGAGCATTTAGATTCAGGACTGCTGAGCCCAGATGGCATATGACAGTGTGACTATGAAACAGTAGGGGTGAGGCAACTCCTGCACAGTCCCTCAAAACACCTCCACATGCCTTGCACACTTGGCAGGTGGTGAACTTGAGTTGCCAACAGAACTGCTTGGAACTGACTGCCACAGGTGGTGCCTCTGAAAGCAAGGACTGAACTGAATAACTCCAACTGATCTGAGAACCCTGGGGCAGGAGGCGCCACAATGGGGAGCCACATTGAGGGTCCTGGTATCCTGTACTGCCTGACCAATGCATGTCCTTTGGAGTATAGATTTTTGGAGGATGGAAGAAAGATATCATTAAGAGTAAACTCTTCCCTTTTTTTTTTTTTTTTTTCATTTATCTTCAGATAGAGCGGGAGGGAGAGAGGGGGAAGAGAGAGAGAAACATTGACGTGAAAGAGACACATGGACTGGCCGCCACCCACATGACCCCAACCGGGGCCGGGGACAAACTGCAACCGAGGTATGTGCCTTCAGCAGGAACTGAACCCAGGCCTCTTTGGTCTGTGGGACGACACTCTAACCACTGAGTCAAACCGGCCAGGGCTAAGAGTAAACTCTTTATTTCTAGGTGACACATATGCCCTCGTGTGTCCTCATGTGCCCTCAGGGACTGCACTGCTTGAGTGTGTGCCCTAACCTTTGTGACATTGCCAGAGCTGTGCTGAGCCTGAATTGATGTCTCTGGTCAGGTTAATAGAGAAACTTATGGAGGAAGCCACCAGGCTTTCCAAGACAGACCTTTATGTGTAGTGGGATGTGTTTAGCTGGCTCAGCCCATGACCCATACAGAGAGCAATACTGCAGGTTGGATTCACTCTGCTGTGTGGGGTATCACTGATATTAATTCCGTCAAGGCACCTCAGCCAAGGGCCAAAGGAACGGATTGCACAGACAAGTTAACATAGCAAGACTGAAACTGCTATCCTTAGAATGGCCTGCTTTTGAGGTTGACCCTTGGCTGACTTCTGGGAGCTTCTATTTGGAGAGCGTTCCCACCCTTCCCTAACTTATATAAGGGTCAGTCACTGCCTAGATTGTTTGTGCAAACAATGGGGATTATGCTGAACACCTGTTTTATTTCTGTATGTTTGAAATTTTGGTACATGCTAGGTAGAGAGTACCTATGGGACTGGTCTTCAATAAAACCCTAAACTCTGAATCTCAAAGGGCTTCACTAGGTAGGAATTTCAAACACATGTTGCTGAATTTTTATTACTGGGAAGGGTGTGCTCTGTGTGACTCCTAAAGGAAGCCTGCCTGTGGATTCCTCCAGACCCTGCCTTGGAATCCAGCCATATATCCTTACACATCTTTGTAACAAGTCTTAGACCTGAACACAACTATATGCTGAGTCCCATGAAACCTTCTAGCAAATCTCTGAATGGGGTAGTGATCTTGGGGTTACCCAACACAGTACCCAATTTTCATTAACCAATGAAAATCTCAGATATTTTCTTACCACATTATTCATGTTGTACATTATTTTTAAATTTCAATTATATTGATCATTGCTTTGATATTAAGGTAGTTAGTACATCTTCCACCAGCTAGTTTGATATTTAATGTGTTGATGAAGAAGCACATATATTATACCACATTTTAAAATATTTTTTAAATTTAACATTTTTAATATGTTTTGACATATTACCTTTGCAATCCTAGGTATTTTATTTGCTACATTACTCTGGGAGCCTGATTCTAAGATGTCCATAGGATTCACCAGATTACCAAACGGGTCTGCACAAAAGAAAGTTGAAGACTCCTTACAATGGGTTTAGATGTATTCATCACTAATGGGCAATTTATTACCTATAAGTGAATAAGCATTTAGTGCCCTAAATTGTATCCAGAGACAAGGAAGAACTAGTTCTACAGATGACACTTAATGGGACAGCAGGAGCCAACAATAAAGTCAGTTTATGATTTCATGGCATGCTTGTTCAATGTGACAATTACATACATAATGTATCTAAAAGGTGAGGTATAATTGGGGCTCTATAATGATGTTGAGTTTTCTAAAACTATAGAATGTAAGTCTCTTATTAAACTTTATTTACTATTTACAGAAAAATCCCAAACTAAAACTCTGAAAAACCCCTACTTCACTTTCAGGTGTCTTTATGATTATAGACCACCACTTGACTTGGTACAAAGACAGTCTTCCTTATAGCTGATGAAAATGGGAATGAAGGCAGAGACAAATTTACCCTCATTAATACTGGCATGTCATAATATTAAATGCCATAATGTCATCTACAAAAATAACAGTTTTTGTTTATGTTGGCTAGGTTTTAAAATATTTTTTGTCTTAAATCCTGACAAAACCTTTTGCAATCAAGTTAATGGTTAATATTTTAACATTTATTAAAACTTAATATTACAAGTTTGATTTTACAGGTTCAGTGGAGAGTCACTAAACTTGTGAAAGTAGCATATTAGTGTAGTGCCCTGCTCTTTCCTTAAAGATGTACAGAGATATAGTACATATTGCAAATGTTTTCCTTCACAATGAACCAGTATGAAACAGAGGATTTTCTAATTGTCTACAACTAAAGTTTTTCTTTGACTGAATACAAAAATACCATGCATGTAAAAATAATAAGAAATTTTATTTTATGCTATTTCACAATCTCCTGCCCACAGCTCCTTATCTTTTCTTCATGGTAAACTACACTTGTGTGGCCCAAAGATTCCTTTATAAGTTTGTACAGAGCATTTCCAACATCATATCATCCATGCTGACTGTGCCAATGATGGACCTGAAGAACAGTTCAGCAACGGCATTGGCACTGATGAATCTAAGCTGGAAAAGGATACTATTCAGTTCAGCGACTCTGGTATGGTATCCCCTGTGGGTCATCCTGGTATGTTCACCGAGGATTTGCTGTGTTCCCCACTGAAGTCCCTGAATGTACTTCACACACCGCAGGCCTGGCAGGTCTGGAAGATAAAATGTGAAAAAGACCTCTTTGTTATCAACAGCTCATTCACAGAGTCCTTTGCTAGCTTTTAAAATATATCCATTTCTTCCCCTTTCCAAATTAAAGAAGAGCTCATCTTCCTGGTGAAAAGGGCTTTCTAGAGCAAAGATAAATGCCAAACCAGTTCTAAGTTTTCAGAAGCAATGCTGTTAGGAATGAAACATATAATTATTCTTATTTATTATCTACTATGTTTTTATTCTCACACTTAAAAACTGCTGGCCCTGAGCCAACAAATGCACACTTGATTCAATATGACAGTAGAATATAGTTTAATGAATTATTGCTCCTGTTCACTGTGAAAATATGAAGAAAGTAAAATTATTTCAAGAAGTGAGCACTTTTACCATTTCCCTGTGGGAAACAAGCCATTGTATAATGACAAGAAGTTTTGCTAGATGACAAATATTTTATCATCCTCCCTTGAATTTTCCAACATTATAATAATTATCCGGCCGATGGTGGTAAACTTCACAGCCACAAACTATGATTCACAGTCTTATTTTAATTATTTGCTTGCAGGCTGATTTTAGTCTTGAGTCCCATAATAACTTAAGAGATAACACTGGCCACTTACCTCATTGTACCATAATTTCTGTATCGGGGAAGGTAAAAAAATATATATAGAGAGAGAGAGAGAAAGAGAGAGAGAGATTCTAATGAGCATTCTAAAAGGTTCTTTAAAAGTTTTTACTTTAAAGTAAGAGATCTTTCAAAGCATTGTTTTACAACCATTAAAAGGTTAAAAAGTCAACATGAAAACATCATGGATTGCAACATGGTTCAAAAGTAACTTTTCAAATAGAAAACACATGACTTTCTTGTAGTCCAATGTGAGACCCAAGTAAAACTGAGTGAAATACAATGCAGAAAAGATGAAGTGCCTGTAAATTTAAGAAGGTGTTAAGAAGAGGCTGCTTTTTAAGGTCCTTTGATCCTCCGTGATATTACTATTACTGTAAAGTTCTTTAACTTGTATTTAAGTAATTACCAGTTTACCGTTCTGTTTGAATGATGTCAATGATGATTGCATTAATTTTCCTTCTCTTTTTCTACAAAATCCAACAGAAAAGTATCTTATGGAATTTATTGGGCGGAAAAGTATTTTAAAAGCACCATGCTAATTATCATAGAGTAGAAGAACCAGTCAGTGTCCTTTAAAAAAATAATAATGGCAATACATGAGTCATTCCTATTATAGACAAACACCAAATTTGATAAATAAAATGAAAACAGAAGCATCTCTAATCCATATTCCAATTGTGATCACCCCGGTCCACACATTAACATCCTCTACCACCTACAGCTCATTATCCAGACTTGAGACCCAACTTTATTGGGTTTGAATTCCACTGATGAGAGTAAAAAGAAGCTTGCATGAAACTCCACAGAAATCTGAAGCTCCTCCAGGTCTAGATTCATGGATCATTAAAACTTAATCTTGTGAACTCCATCCACATCACTTTTCTCAGCTTTCATATCACACCCTTCCATTTCCTCCTCACCCCTCCTCACAAAGTGTTCCTGTCCCCCCCTTCCCCCCAAAAAAAAGACTTGCCTTCAAAGTAAATTCAGAGGGATAGGGGAAAACAGGTGGCTAGATGGACTCCACAATAAAAAAAAAAAAAGTTTAGACATAAAGATCAGGGGATACAAAAGGATAAACAACAAAGAAAAGACACACTTAACAGGCTTTACTCCCCACCCCTACCCCCAAGACAGGTGCATTTGTGTTTTAAACACACTCAGCTTATATTGGGATGATTCTGAGAAGCAGAGCAAGAATAAAAGAGATTGTGTGTGTATGTGAGTGTGTGTGTGTGTGTGTGTGTGTGTGTGTGAAAAGTGTGCAAAACAGGTTGGAAAAAAAGAAGGAAACTAGTGGAATGTAAACTTCTGGAAACTGAGCCCCTGTTTCACCTTGTATTCCAACAGAACAAAGCACATGGTAGATGTTTAATAACACAGGCTGAAGGAGTAAGAAAACTATTTCCCAGTGATCTTAAGAGCCAGCTGGGGCACTTGGATGAATGGAGATTTGCTTACCCTGGACCAGAGCTACCAAATCAGAATCTCTAGGGGAGGGGCCTAAGGAGATTTTAAACAAGCTCTCCTCCAACTCCCCTCCCAAATGTTTCCAATGTACAGGCAAGTTTGGAACACAATGATGTAAGCAGAAGGTGACCTACAGTGATCACTGGGATGAGCTGAGGTCTCTAGGTACTGAAAATCGAGTTCTAAATGAATTATTTTCCCACTGAATACTGTTCTATTTCCCTTCAAAACTGCTAGGCAATATGTAAAGGCATATCCTGAGATTCCTGGTGTTAGGAAAAGATATTATGAAAACTATTCCAACTCAAGCTGCAACTTCCTCCCCACTGTGGCTCTTTGGATGGATTATGATTGAAGATGACTTTAGTAGTAGAACATACTTGTTTGGGTGTTAGGCTGTCCAGGAATATGTTCTCCCATGATTTGGTTGCACTGTGGGTAGGAGAATGTCCAGCACCCAACAGACATTGGGCCCAGGACACAGGAGGCCCACACTTCACAACTCACTGGCCATTATTTTGCAGTAAGATCCCTTGGGACCAGGCTACCTAATCTACAAATGGGGTAGAGGGCAGAGCAACTTGATTAAGAGGTCTCTAAGGTCTTTTCAAGCTCTAATATGCAGTGTTCCTGCTCACAGTCCTTACTGTGTCATTTTCCTGCCCCATTGCTAGCCTGATACTCACAGACACTTGGAGGATGAGATAGTCCATCGGCTTAAGACCATAAAAATGACCATTCAGAGACAGAGCTATGGTACACTAAGTCCAATGTCCTCCCTGACAGGGGGTGGTCTCTCAATGGGTTTTTAATAAATTATTTCCCTTTCTTCCCAGCCTTAATAGAGTTTCTCCAACAAAAAGGTTCTAGTAAATTTCAGAACTGGGTTTCAGAAAGAGATATTGCAGAATTTGCAGTAAACAAACTTTTTTAAAGCTATGCTACTGGATTGAAAAGACTAAAGAAGAAGGGATACTCATGTTCCTTGAAGGCACAAACTTTTGTGTAGTAACAGAAAGTTGTAAAGAGGTAAGTACAAACCTCAACAAAATATCCTCCTCCTCTAGGCTGAGTTTCTGGCAGCAGCCCACCCACAAGGAGTGGTTTCTGGAGCTCCCCCAACTGTGCTGAGTTAGTCGCCCTTCTTCACTTTTCCCCCGGACACTCCCCTGTCCACTGAAAGCTCTTCAGTGCCTGCATTCTGGTAGGCACTGCCCAATGGTCTACTGAGCAGAAAAAAACCAGAGCCCCAGGCCGGCGCTCTTACCCGGGGTAAAGAGCACGATCCCCTTGAGGTAGGCGTACTCCTTGGTACTGATGCCCAGGCTCCAGCACTTGGCAAGAAAGCTCTTAATAGCTTGGACCTCGGTGGCTGAGGGCAAATGCTGGGCCTCTGTCGGCGGTACCAAGTGTTGCTGCAGCATAGGAAAAGGCAGTGGCCCGTCGTCCGCGGTCTCCCGCCGCCTGGTGGTGAGGATACTCTGCAGCCAACTGGGCTCCGAGGTCTCCACGGTCTCGAAGTTCACGCGGTCCTGGGCCAGCTCAAGCATGAGCAGCGGCGCCCAGCCGCTGCGCACCAGCACCAGCTGCTGGTCCAGGGGTAGAACCTGGAAACAGGGTAAGTATTTGACGAAGCGCATCGTCTTCAACAGGCCCGCTGAGGCTGCCTCAGAGACCGCTTTTGGACTCTTGAGGGCCACCCGCTGCTGTGAGCCACAGGAGGGGTTCCACCAGGGGGCCCCCGGCAGCGCTCCTGGCAGAACCGCGTGCGTTTGTTTTGCGCTCGTGGGCATGTTGCAGAAGACGCTGCCCTGCCGGGGGTGGTCTTCACCGCAAAAGCAGCAACGATACAGGAGCGCCATGGCCCTCACTCCCGGCAGTATCTCTCTGCCCACCGGGGGCTCCGCGCCGCAGGAGCAGCCCCAGCACGCTCCCCTCAGAGCCTCGGGGTTCTCTTGCACTTGTTTTGCGCTTGTGAGCATATGGTAGAGGATGCTGCCTTGCCGTGGGTGGTCTTCACCGCAAAAGCAGCAGCGGTACAAGACCGGCACTGCCCGCCTACCCGGCAGCCCTTCTCTACTCGGCGGGAGCTCCGCGCCACAGGAGCAGCCCCAGCACGCGCCCCCGGGCCCGGGCCGTGTCCTGGGCGCCTCCGGTGCTTCTGAAGCCTCGTGCGTTTGCTTGGCGCTCATGAGCATGTTGTAGAGGATGCTGCCCGGCCACTGGTGGTGCTCACCCGCCATGGCCCAGGGTGCCTGCAGCGCAGCTCTGTCCAGTGGCTGCCGCCTGGGATCTATTTATACTGAGCGCGCACGCACGCGCGTCGGCGGTCTCCGCCTGGACAAGGGCGTGGAGGGGGGCGCGGTGCTGCACTCTCCTGTGTTTGGCCTTGACTTTGGCGATTCAAAAGGGGCAGAAGCTCCTTAAAGGCTGGAAATGGAAGAGGAATGGATGAATGATAACTCCTGGACATTTCTCATTTTCCTCTCATTACACCCTCCCCTGTCTCTGGAATACCAGAGCGGAGCGCAGGAAACAGGTATATGGGGCACTGTTCCAACTCTTTCCATTGATTTATGGCATCTGATTTGCTCCCTTTATTGGGAGAGTAAGGGTGCCTACATGGAGAAAAAAAAAATATTTCTATGCTATCTTTGCAAACTTTTATCGAATGATCAAACTTTATATGTCTTATATTTTGTATATGGATAGGGAGGTCTCATTTTCAGGTACCTTGAAAAATGTAGACCATGGACCAGCAGCATCAGTCTCATATAGGAACTTTGTAAAAATGCTCAATCTCAGGCCCCAACCAGACCTCTGACTCTGAATCTGCATTTTAACGAGGTCCCCAGGGGATTTGCCTACACCTTAAATTTGGAAAAGCGCTGGTCCAAGGATGCTATCATAAGTATTTTCATTAATTTCATTAATATTTATGAGCATCCACTCTTAGATGCTGTGTTAGAGAACTGGGGGCAGCAATCAGAATGTCAAAGTGGCTAATATTTGGGAATATAATAATCACAAGGGGCTAAAAGCTTTTTACAGTGAGAACTTTGAATTCTTCTAGAGGTATTATTTTGGGCAGATGTGTAATTCACATTTATTCTCCTACCCTTTGTAAGCAATTAATGAGAAACACAGGTCTCAAGGAGCCTGGATCCTTCTGTCCTCACTTGCCTTCTTCCTCCAGTTCCATACAGGTGCTAAAATCAGTGGGTTTCTCCACATCACCACCTGTCCCTTGTTAACTAGCTAATTGTTTCACCAACCACTTGGGTAACTTCAAAATCATATCCCTTTAGTTTGCAAATTCCTCATCTCTAAAATGGGAGGTTTGTTTAGTGATATCTTGGGTCCAGGTCTGAAGACATGGAGCAGAGAAGGAGACTGGCGTATACCCACTGGTATAGAATCTCCTTTCTCTATTTTTAGTTTCTCTGAAACCTGGAATTCTGAGCATAAAAGGAAAACCTAGGAGACACTCATTTTGCACTCAACCTGGAATTTTATTCTGCCTGTGGGAAGCCCTATAACACAGTGGTTAAATCTCTAACACTGGCACCAGATTGCCTCAATTTTAATTCTAGCCCTGACACTTTGTAGCTTTCTGGCCTTGGGCAATATATTAGTTTCCTATTGCTGCTGTAACAAATTACCACAAATTTAGTGGCTTAAGCAACACAAATGTATTATGTTACAGTTCTGGAGGTCAGAACTCTGAAATCAGTTTCACTAGACTAAAATCAAGGTGATGTTTCTTCTAGAAGCTCTAGGGGAGAATCTATTCCCTTGCCTTTTCCAGCTTCTAGAAACTGTTTGCATTCCTTGGCTCCTGGCCACATCACTCTGACTCTGCTTCCACCTTCTTTCTGACTCCTTTAAGGATCTTTATAATTACATTTATAATCTAGAATAATTTATCCATCTCAAAATATTTTAATAACATTTTCAAAGTCCCTTTTTCTATGTGAGACAACAAATTGACAGGTTCTGAAGATTAGAACATGGACATCATTGGGGGACATTATTTAATCTTCCACAGGAAAGTTACTGTACCTCAGTTTCCTTATTTGTAAAACATGGACAATAGTCTCTGTGAAGAAATCCTTGTACATGAGTTAATTCATGTACAATGTTTGTTTGGTACATAAGTGCTAGATGTATCAACCATTATCCCCCCCTTTTAAAAAGAATAATGTAGAATAATTTCAGGTTTAGGAGGTGATACCACACATCAGCACCACCATTATTCTATCTCTCCTAAGGAAACCCACCCTTACCCTCCACCCAGAAGCTGTCTCATTTTCTTCTGCATGTCCACATTTCTTGGCCCAGACTCAAAACATTGGATGGGTTAACTGCCCACAACAGCAATGTATATTGGAAATGTCATCTCATTGTCTATTTCATCATTTGCCATTTCTAATATTCAAGTTACTATTTTGAAGTAGTAAGTTATTGCTACTTCTGCAGTCTTCCTGCTTGATGAAGCCACCAACCAGCCTAGCTGAAAACCCAGCCTACCTTAGTCCCACCTTAAGTTGCCAGTGCTAGTTATTTTAACTTTGTTAACCCATTTTATTTTCTTCCTCACATATATTGCAATCTGATTTGATTGATTTATTTAGTTTTTTGATGCTTGTTAATTGTCTCCCCTTGCCCCTCCCCCCCAACACACACTAGTATAAAAGTCCCTTGAGGGCAAGGAATAAGTCACCCTGTATCCCAGAAATTAGAAAAATGTCTGACATGTAGTAGGTACTCAAAAATATATTTGTTGCCCAACCATACCTTTAGAGAAAGAGAAGAAGGCTACTCCAGACACAGAGCAAGCATTCCCACACCACTATTGCTGCAGTGACCCTGGAGGGAGGAGAAGTTGGCAGGCCCCATTGGACTCAGAACTTTCTGAAGGCCTTTTTTGATACTCAGGGTGCTACAGGCATTCTGGTAAAGTAACAAGAGGACTGAGTTAACAGTCAAAATATATGGCTTTGAATTTGGGCTCTTTCACTATAAAGATGTAACACTGAATAAGTCATTTAACTTCAGACTTCACACTTGTGAAGTGGGGAAAAACTATACACCAATATTAATCTGTACACTCTAAGTCTTTCAAAGGTTGTTTTTTCCCCTCAATATATTCCTTTACAAAAATGTTTGCTGACCTCTTCACTGCATTGGAAATATAAAGCAACTTAAGTTTATATTCATTCACTATCTAATAATTTAACATTGAGCAGAGCACTTAACATTACATTAGTCTTTTCAGCTATGAAACCAAAAAAAAATACTATAAACTATTTTAATATATGCACCCTAAATGTACATAATTCAAGGGATTTTCTAAATATATTTTATCTTATCAACTGTATTTTTAAAAATCCTAGTAACTCAAACCCATTTTTGTTGCTTTAATCATTCACACCTTGCACATATTAATGCCTTTGACTTTGACTTCCACACCATTGTCTCAGATTGAAATTTCAGTACAGTGCTCAGAACCATGGACTTGTAGTATATTGGTTATAATGTGTTCTTTCCCAGGAGCAATCTTCTGATTTTTTTTTGCTTGTGAGGTTTTTTGTTTGTTTGTTTGTTTGTTTGTTTTTGTTTTTTTTGAAGTTGTGATCTTCTGTTTACAATTCTGAAGGACTTTCTCGGTTGTTTGGATTGACTGTTGCTAAGAAGAGATTGCCTGCTTGTCCTTCACAAGTATTTACCTTTGGAACTATCAAGAGAAAACTGACTTCAACTTTACACTTTCCTTTTTTTCACCTGAATGAATAGCTCCGAGAAAAAAAATCATCTAGACACATCAATGCAGAGATTTGCACCAAGTAATGCCAACTCACTGGTTGCTACAGTGAAGACATAACCTTCTAAGGCAGGCACAAGCTTTTTCATTTGATTTGTTCCATGTCCTCAGACCACTGTGACAGCTAGACAAAAGGACACTCATCAGCTGCACCTGTCATGTGCTGAGTTTGTCCACAACAGCAATTTGGATATTTATACCAAGTCATTGTTTGATGACCTTTGTCAGTGGGACACCTGCTCTATAGGATCCATTATCTGTTCTGACTCAGGGTGGGAGCAAAGCTGCTCTGCCTGTCTGAATGCAGCCTTCAACTTCAAAGCAATGCAGTTTTTACTAAATGATGTAGGAGTGAGGTACAGGTGGGGATAAAGTCACATCAAATTGTAAAACTGACCTTTGCACAGCAAGCTACTCTTGACCAGAGAAGGCTCGAGGATCTGAAACCTGATATGAATTTTCAATCCAGACCAAAAAGAGCTGGAATGTCTCAGAATTCAGCTCCTTCAGTGAACAGGTGACAGTAGAGTTTTCCTGATTATTCAAGGTAAATATTGGGTAAACATATTGCAGAAGAATAATAGCCAATAAAATCCAAGAGATAGCTTTCCTCCTTTTCCTTTCCCAAACCCAGAATTTCTAAACTCTTTTTGTGGAAGAATTAATAGGCTTTAGCTGCTGACTCATGAAACCACTAAAGATGATCTAGCCATTATTTATGTCCTTTGAGCTACAAATAAGGCCTTAGGGGCGGTCACATAGTTGCTGAGCTGGAATAATGACTCTTATACTCACAATAATTTGGAAATTTTCTAAAATCAACTTTCCAAATCACTATAACAACCACTCCATTCAAGGAAAAACTGCATCTACCAATTTTGAATTGATCCTAATACCAGATGTGGATCAATTTGTCTAATTAATAGATCCAGTTGACTGGCAGGTTAAAAAATGATTACCCTATTGGTTGATAAGCTATTAAACGTGATGTGACTGGTCACTTTGAAAATAATTGCTCTCTTGGTACACATAGCTATGTCCCCTAATGGTGATTGTAATTTTAGTTACAGACTCCCCTTGCATCAATGTCTGGAACTGTTATAATATCTCCCTCCCAGGAACTTGCTTTCTTTTCCCCTCAAACTTTTCTTAAAACTTATTTTCCACAATCTATATACCTAGAGTGCCTTGTACATTGCCTGGTATATTAAAGACACTCAACCAATAACTGTTAATAAAACAGTGAGTGAAAAGTTTCTTCCACTTGACTAGATTGCCCAACCTTTTCTCCTTTCCCATGACTGTGTGGGTTTTAACAATCTTGCCAGCCCTGGTGGAGAGAACTTAGGTCCCTTCTGCTAGTTTGATAATCACAAAAGTGAAAGTAAATATTTTATCTGTGTTTCCTTCACAAAGTTG